AGGTTTCTCCTTCTTAAAAGGAAGTTTTTCCTTGCCTCTGTCGCCTACTGCTTGCTCTTGGTGGGAATTGTTGGGCTTCCGTAAACATCATAGAGCATGGTCTAGAGATATCGCCACCTTTATGTCAGGGGACATAAAGGTGGAGCTTTATGACAAACTACACTCTCTTTTCTGCAATCCAGACATCAACCATCACCCCGACTGCCACATCTTGCTTTGTGTTTATTTATGTTACACATGCCCATTTAAATAGTTATGTTTAGTTCACCCTTTTGTTAAATAAATCACTTTTTGATCATTTATGCTGCCTCATTACCTCTTTTGTCATGGCCCTTGAGCCAGGTTGTGACAATCTCCACAAGTCTTTGTTCAAACGTTGACCAAAACAAACACAAAAATTCTCTAGATGGCAGATATCAAAAATAAAAATATAAAGTGTTTGTGCATCATAAACCTTAAAACAAAAAATTTTGCAGGTGGGTTTAACATGTCACCTACTAGTCAGGCACATATGACATTAGCTGATCTCAAGGTTATAAAAATATTTTATATAAAGTTTGCGTTTCCAAAATTATTTCAAATAAAGCTTGGCTTACAGTCCAAATTCTTTCATCATTTTAATCTCCCAAGTCATCTGGATCTGGTCTGAAAATTTCAAGTGTTGCATTTTTCATGACTTGCTTCGATCCCAATTGTTGACGCTTGCGGCTATATTTAAATATGCAGTTGAAGAATGACTCAGCGACAACTTTCATTCACTTTTTTACTGATACTGAAATCAAATGGACAATGAACACGCATGGTCAAGCAACAGCTGGCTAATATGTATTTATCTTTAAAACCACAACGGTCTAATTTCAGTGAAACATTTTATATACTGTATATAATGCCTTCTGTATATGTACATAGGTACACGCATAGAGTACATACACACACACACACACACACACAGTTGAGGTTTAAACGCACATACAAACAGGTCACATAATTAGTATACATTATTGTAATGACTTGGACAGTTCCTGACTGGAGAGGGGAGAGGCTTTTCAAAAGGAAATGCATAGATTGGAAAATTTAACACAATATGCCACAAGCAGGCTCTACACACACTGTTCAAAGTACACACTGAATTTGGAGTTTTGTTTTAAGAGTTTGGTCCTAAAAAAAAAAATATATATTTTTTTTTTAATTTTTTTTTTTTTTTTTTTTTTAGGAAGATACTTTTTTTGCAAGGATGGGAAAACATGAGGCGATGTGTTGGAGGGCAAAGGGTTAATGAAACCAGCTAACATCAATCAACCCTCATAGGTCAGTTAAGAGTACAGTATCATGGGAATGATATTGTTTGGGGGCCATGTGAAGCAGGTTGTACAAACAAACATGAACCTTTCCCTTTTAGTGTCCAAACTCACCACCCTTAGACAAGTGTTACACAATACCACAGACCATGACAACTTGTGTCGATCTAATAGGAGTTGATCTCGGGATATTAAACAACAAGAAAGAGGAATTACAAGGTCTTGATTTGTCTGCGGAAGAGGTCACACAGATGAAAACCTTTCAGGGGGCAGACAATGGTGAGCTGGTGTTTCAAAGCTAATCTCTACAGCCCTGCCAGGAGGAGATAGATAAGGGTAGGACCACTGGCTATATCCTTCCACAGGGCTGTGCATGGCAAACCGGTATGGACAGAAGGAATGCAAGTCCCCTTGTCTTCAGAATGCAGATGGTGGGACATCGGTAGTAGGGTTGGTTGGTACGTCATGAGACAGGATTATATGGAATGACACCCTGAGCAGGCTAGGCTGCCTAGCGGACTAGTGGGGACTGCTTCAGGGAGATGAGGACGGAGCGCATGCGAGACACGTCTTTGGCCTGCTTGCTGGACTTGGGGTTGAAGTCACAGAGTCGAGCCACCCGCTCCCACTCCGTGCCGGGGTTGCTCTCGTCCAGATCTGAAATCATGGCCTCCTCAGCCGCCCTACATGCAACAGGGAAGAGGAGAAGGAAAGGACATGGAATAGGAAACAATCAGTGGAGGAAGTGGTTAAGATACACCAAAATACACGTATAGCCCTGAGAAAGTCCTCTGCTGATCACCAACACACACACACACGTTCTGGTGGAAAACTTAGTCATGCCTCCCAGATGCTTAGATGCTGGCATGACTGATGCATCTGTCAGATTCAATTCAATCTAAAATTTCAGTCTGACATCAAGATTTGAGAAGTACCCTCCCAATCTATTGAGTATAAATCTCAATACACCGGCTGGTGGGACTTTGTTAATTCAGCAGAGTCTACCTCAGGACAAGACAGTCCAATCACCACATAGAAATGGACATCCGTCTGTCTTTACACCCACAAAGTGAAACAAGCTACAACAGTTTCATTACGTGTGGCATGCCCCCAACTCCGCTTACATATTACAGTCACCTTTATTTTCGACTCTCCACAACAGTAAAGGTAGGTACGTCCACAAAACTGATGAGAAATCCAAATAAAAACAACAAACCAAAGCTTAACAAAGTAATTTTAAGGTCTAATAAGCATTTTTGGTTGGTTAAAAATGCAGTTCTGTACAGAACTGGGGGAGGGGAGTTTGCCCACACCCTTACGACATCCTCTTTACGCACCAAGAACCAAGTATAGGGATGATGAGCTCATCTATATACTTGTCCTTAATAAAAAGGAAAAAAAAAAAAAAAGGAACAATGACAAGTTCTGTTTTTTTAACCAAGCCCAAAAGAACTGGAAGCACTGCTAGGCTTTAGCCGTGCATTGTGCTGCAGCTGAAAAGCAGGCTATTTGGAGGTGGTCAAAGAATGCATTCACTTAGATTTCATGTGTCCTAATTGTGGAACTGATCAATTAATGTCTTATTGGTGAAGATTGAGGCGTTTTTTAAACCATCTATTAAACCAAAAAGTGGACATTTACACTACAGGGCTTACCACTTGAAGTTAAAACAAGTTTAAAAAACAAAAACAAAAAACGGAAGACAAAAAGACAAAACTTGAAACTGAAAATGGATCAGTCCCACTTTCACAAGCCATTTTGAGATGTAAGCCACAGATTATGGCTAAACAAATATAACCCCTCATCACACCCCACCCACAAACAGTAATAATTCCACTGCCATGGTACTTTTCTAGTTAAAATGTTATTTTTCTATACCCCGCCCAACCTGCCAGCACAAACTCAGCTACTACCTACAACACAATACACAAAGCAAAATGGGGATGAGAAGCCAATGAACATTCACAGTCGCAACCAACTACAAATACACAAAAAGGACTAGAAGGACCACAACATCACAGAAGGGGCATTATAACAAGCCTCTATCTAGGCAGTGGATCTAACTGTTGGGATAGTAAACTAAGTATCTATGCAACATATAATGATCTAACACACACACACACACACACACACACACACACACACACACACACACACACACACCCCTATCCCCTGTCAAAAATATAAAGTATTTAGAGGTTCTGTGGTTTTGTATTTTTACTTAACTGGTCTAGGCGGTAGCAAGGATGGTTAATGTGTGTGCTTTAAGGTGCATAGGAAAAGAAAACAGGGAGAAACAGTTTCACAAGTCAGAATTTAGAAGAGAGAGAGGGAAGGGGAACGAAATGAAAGACAACAAAAATGAGCTAAATGCAAATGTTGAAAGCAAGCATGCAAAAGCAACAGTTTTTTTAAATTTCATTTTTTTCTTCAAAAATGATTAGTGTGCAGCCTTTGGTTTAGTGACATTTCTCTAATAATAATACTGCCTCAAGCCATATTTCTGTCAGTTACACACACAAGGATGTTATGGCCTGGGATCTCATTTATAAAACTTGTATATTATTTTCTAATAAGTCAAATCACGAGCACATCATGCCAGTTACGTCCCGTGTAAATATGTCCAAAATTTCACCTACAAGCGATATTATTCATTTTATGTCACAAGACATTAATAATTTATTTCACTACATTGGCAATGATGTGGCCAGCTCCCACTTTATGCAAAATCTTTGCAGGCCTGTTCACAATTGTTCATTCTCTTGCCACACAACGTTTGTGTGGGAAGTGGTATTCACATCATTCAAGCCCATTTGTTCTTATTGAATGCTTATAATGAGGCCCATCGAGTCCTCGTCATAGACTCCACCAACAACATGATGAAGCAGGAAGTGCTGTGATCACTGTCATTCTACACAAAACACTGCTAAAGCACCAGGAATTGTTGATTTGCATTGAGTGTGCACATAAACAAAGCTCACAATTGAAACACAATAAAATGCCTCTTCCTTAATCATGACAAAATCATTTTGGCAATCATGAGCATGTGTACATTAATACTAAGTCACAAATACAATGAAAATGTAATGCAAAAAAGGAAAAAAAAGCTTAAATACGAACCTAATGAAAGAACAACCAAAAATAAGCCTAGGAACAAAGGAACATGTCAACTATTCTCACCAAATAAAAAATAAACTGATGGCAAGTTTGAATTACAAGCTGATGAATAAGAAGATAATAAAATAAACGTGTACAGGCTAATTGAAACTCCCAACTAATCTGATATCCTGCAAAACCAAGGCTGCACAACTCAAGCTACTGGATAGCTAGCTGGGCAAATTAGCATGTCATCCCATTGGACAGCAGTAGCTACAGAGCAGCTAACATTCTAATAAAGCATGAACACAGTTCAGTTTGAAGCAGTTGTGTAACCCATGACATGACCAGTGGTGTTATCAATAAAATTTTTGCAGACACTGGGGACATGTGAGGGCTGGACTCATTAAATGTTACCTTGAAATGAATTGAAGAACCAGAATGATGGAAACAAAGCTGGAGAAGTGCTTTTCTGAAGAGGTGATTAATACATTAAAACTATTAATGACTTTTCTTTTGCCTATAAAAACACAATAGGCAAAAATATTTAATAATGGACATTCTGAATCCTGCACATACCTAGAATTTAAGTCCAATTGTATTAGTTAAATACATAAAATGAAAACAGCTGTAGTTTAAGGGATGCAACTATGACAAAAAACACCTAATAACTATTAGATATTACTACATATTGTTCAGCAATGAGACCCACCTTACTGAGCATAGATGAGTTTAAAGCATTACAACTTTCACACATTATTAAACTACAGAGACTTTTACTCGGTTTCACGTGTAGTGTGGTTTAGTTTGGCACCATCCCATTCTGCACACATCCTCATTTTTAGATAAATGAGTGCTTAGGGCTGGCGATACGGGAAGTTAGTACTTAGGACGTTTGACTTGTAGAGATTCAGAGGCAGGAACCTCCCAATGTCAAACTCTGCACACAGTGCAGTAAAATCACGTCTTATTTCATTAACAACTCTCGAAGTTAAAATAAAGGGAAATCGTTCGGTCCACTTATGCACGCACACGTGCACGCGCACACACACACACACACAACACCACACACGCTTCAAACAAACCTATAAGCATCCTAATACTGAATAATATTTTGTAGATTAATTTGGGGTAAATCACTTTAATAAAAAGGTGAAACATTTCTGTCTAAGAGAGTTCATACAATTAATGTACGTGTTAATTGTTGGAAACGTGTGTAATGTATTTGCAAAATGTTTTGCTGAAATGACATGGAAGAGAAAGTGTGGAAGTGAATAATGGAGCAGAAAACACAGACAGTTATGAAAGACTTAATTAGCTCTCCATGGTTGTGACTGAGGAGTGTGCATGTAGTGGCATGCAGTCAATCTATTTACTGAAATGTCCTGACAGGTATCCACTCACAAATGACATGCAGATATATGGGAGGGGTATGGGTATTATTACTGCAGTTTCTGTTTGGAAAACTTCAAGCTACATGATGAGCGTAACAATCAGAAATCAAAGTAGTTCAAAATGAAGAACTAAAAACATGGCTACACAAGGCGAGGTAAACTAATGCCCTAACTAATGAGATGAGTATGAGGTAAATGGTTGGATGCTGGGAGTTGATGACAATGGAGGTAAACAAAGCAAATTTTTTTTGTAAAATCATAACAAAGGGAGATGTTAGTTGGAGCAACATACACATAACCAATGGCTCAGAGAAGGGCTGCTTGTAGAAGTCTTCATCCAGCACCCTGGACAAACATCCGCCCAAACGACAGAGCAGCAAGAAGGCAGCAGAGAAGAGAGACAGCAATAAAAGGGAGAAGAGGATGGAAACACAAGCATTATAGGTTACCACACAATAATATGCTAAGGCATATAATCAAAGGCTCGATTTTTGGAAGGACTTCTAAATGCAGTGTCAGGGTTTTCAAAGGCTCAGGGAGGCTCTCAGCTGATCGTGTCCGCCCCTGAAATCTTTAATTACACGGCTCTGGTGTTCTGCCAGACAACATCAGTCTTCACATTTGAAACAATTTGCACAGGTGAGAGAATATCAGTATATGTTGCAATATAAGCTATGAGTTTAAGTAATCAATCGAAGACACCCAAATTTATGCAAATGACAGCAAAGGACTCATTTGCTTATTTTTGGTTCACATCATTAATGAAATACTTTTGTTTTTTTTAACTATTGATCAAGCAAAACAGTTGAAATGAAGGGAGATCTTTTTAATACATCTTAAAGTCTAAACCAACTCATTATTTGATTAGGTTGGAAAAGAGGAAATATGAAAATTTTTGTTAGTTGCAGCCCTAACTCAGCAAAATATGCACCATATTTTTTTATACTTATTGACCTTGCCAGACCAAGACCATCCATCTAGCAAACACGGGTT